GTTTCTATTTTAAAAGTAAAAATGAGAATATGTTATAATTTACTATTATTTAAAATATATGTTAGTTACATCAAATATAGATATAAAATGTGCTATATGGTGTATTTTCTTGTCTATAAAATATGTTGATCTCCATATCAATGAAGCCCACATTACAGTCTCTTTCTATCGAGGCCTACTTGGTCTTAGAGTGCGTAAACTAACACTCTACACTCTTAAAAGGAACCATAAAATTGGTTTTTAACAATTTAGCATTAAGTGAGAAGACTAAAATAGGAAAAAAATAAATAAAGGAAGAAGAAGCCTAATGAAAAATATTTGACACCGACAAACTTTAAGTTCCCAGGTCAGTGCATAGGGCATAGGATATGCACATCCATGTGGAAACATTAATTGATAATACTGTAGGAGTTGATCAAACCAATACGGCAAAATTGAAGATACATTTGTCCTTGAACATATGTTTTACAAAAGTAACGTATGAGGCTTTTTTTTTGCACTTTTGTCGTCTTTTATCAACGTCATTTTATATACATATATTGTCTTATAGTTATTCTGGAACTTTAACATGCCATCAAAGAAAGGTTAACAGAAAGGGAGGTCTAACCTGTAGGCATTTTTGGATGAGAAAATTAGAGATTATATCTTCTTAAGTATTTGTCTTACTGAAAGTTTTTTTTTTTTTTTAATAAAATTATTCCTCTTAATTAGCTCAAGTCTAAAAGGTAGAAATATATGAATTAATATTAAAGAATAAAAATAAAAGAGGTAAAAATAAAAAAAGCTCTATTTCAAAGGGTATTTTTATAAATTTCCCTTTGCATTACTGACTAATTTGAAGCCCATATCCCTACCAATGCATGGTTACAATAATAAGTTAATTAAAGATCGAATTCTTAGTGATAAAAATTAATTTGTGATTATGTTGAGCCAAATTATCGCCGCTACGTGGAGTTAGAGTGTGATCTAACTTTTCATAACAAGTTTGAATTCTCACAATATTGATAAACTAATCGAATTTCTTGTGTGCGCGCGCGCTTTTTTCCTCTTTTTTTCTATCATTATTCTTGTTATAAGTAAAAGATTAGGATGTGTCATCCTTAATAATATGAGATTTGTATGAAATTTGGTTGTAAAAAAAGTTTATAGGACAAATTAATCCATGATGTATATGTACCTCTTTAGCTTTGTCACATATGAGATTTAGATCCGACCTATATAGATCTTGGAAATGAAGGATTATATATGTATATCCAATTTCCTTTTAATTGGCTGCAGATAATAATTACGTAAGGGCAAATTATTTAACACGTAGTTAAGCAAGTAGTTACTCTAATAACTACGTGTGAACATGCATTTTGTGTATATATTATACACACACACACACACTTTTACGTGTGTAGATTGGCGTTAATATCTGCAGAAGAACGAAGCACGAGAAAATAAAGGATTAGCCTGGCGGCCGATTAATGAGCGATATCACATGCAGAAACTGATACATTTTACATCACGTCCAAGAAAATTGAATAAGGTGTCGCTTTATGCTTCCATTTGGGCACAAAACAAAAAACTTGTCCTTTCGAAAACGACAATATATTGAAAGTAACATAACAAAGGGCCAATTTAGTAGCAGGTAGATTTTATATAAATTATTGTTAATTGTATTAAAAAAAATAGTTGGGTATTTAATAAATTATAATTATATAAGTATTAATTTTAAAAGTATGATGAGTATTATAAAAAATTTATTAATTATATTTTAAAGTGATTTTTATATAATTTAAAAGTTAAAGTTATTTTTAATTTTTGATTTTGACTATAATTTTTTTAAAAATTATTTAAAAAATATTTTTTATGATTTTTATTAAACATAAATTTTAACTGTAAATAACTAAAAAAAATTAATTTTAGACTTTAAAAATTACTACCGAACATACTCAAAGTATGCATTTATGTCGGTATTGAAAGAAGAGAAAATGATGTCGTTTGGATTGACAGCAAGAGCAATAAAAGATATGACAGGTGTTATTTTTCAACAACCCCGTATTAATATTATTAACTTAATAGCTACTAGTACGATATTCGGCTTCTTGCGAAAGTATCAACAAGGTAATATTTTGGAGTACCAATTTCTTAATACCTTTTTCAATTTTGCTTGACAAGAAAGTTCTTGTTCACAGACTAATGGTAATCTTGTAGGTGTCTGAAAATTTGATTCACAACAGGGTACAGTACAAATTTGTAGGAATATACAATATAAGGATATGAAAAAATATGCCATTGTTAAAATATAGTTTTGAATTATCAAAAACCAAATATCAAAAAAATATGATAATTTAACGAACTAAACAAATGTACCAATTAAAAATTGTTTTCTACCAATTGAATCTTTTTCATATCATAGCGAAAAGTTTTCCTTAACTTGTCCGGTAAAGTAGGACGAACGTGATTTTGGAATTTGGCTAAAAGAAAAATTATTAAAAAGAAGAAGAAGAAGAAGTTTAATGGGAAACATTGTCAGGCTCCATCTGGCAATGGGTGGTGAAGTTTAATGGGCTTCAACTGGGTTCCTTACCATTGAAATGGATGGGACTTGCAACCAAACAAGTGGTCCTAATTACGAAGGCCCATCCACAAAAGCTCTTAAAAGACCCTTGGGAATTTCTTTTCGAAAAGGAAATAATGATAATAAAATATTTTGAGTAAATAATTTTTTACCACTTTGAGTGGTATTTTTCATTTTTTCCCAAAAAAAAGAAATGACAATGTGAGACTTCGGTTATCTAAGATATTAAGACCATCTCTAATGCAAATGTTAATGTCAATAGTATATTTAACATAAAAAAGTATGATATGATATATTATTTTTATTTTTACTCCAACGCATAATGTTATTTGAAAAACTAAATCTATTTTTTTCTATAATCATTAAAGCTTTAAATGTTGTAAAAGTAAAATTTTATTTTTAAAATAATAAGATTTGAACAACAAATAGCATTACATTAGAGAGCGTTTTTTACACTTAAATATTAAATTTTCCATTTGCACATCAATCAAAGCATTGGCGATGCTTTTAACATTAAAACCTATAATTTTATAAAGAAAATTAGAAAGGGGGGAGCAGCAAGTACATTTCGCCTATTTACTACGAATATATGTCTCCAAATTGGCAAATTTTGCTTTAAATCTTATAAGCCATACCCTTTAATCCCTGAAAAAGGAATGTTGAACACCGACCATATCATATATGGAGCTGCAAAGAGAACAGGTCCAAGTTTGAAGCAGACAGGATTTAAGGTCACAAATCTTACACTCTATCTTACAACTATGCAAGTAGACACTTAGGATTGCATTGATAAAACGCTAAAAAAATTGGTTTTTTTTTGGGTTATGACGTGAATTCATGCAAGTAACGTGATATAACAGTCGATCTATCGACCGGAATGATTGAGAAGACTTGCAAATAGTCAAGTATGAAATGGATCAAGCTTGGGCGGTTTGATAAAGCGAAATCAATAATGAATTTTAAAGGTTGGATTACAGCAGGAAAATCATACCAATATTAGGTCCACGGTAGTTGCTTAATAGCTACTCAAACCCTTATAAATGAAGAAGTGGCTTGTAATGATTAAGCCACGTATGTTAATTAACTTAGGTTTGCATGAACCAACCAAATAAGAAAACGACACATACCAAAGGGCAAAGAATTGTTGTTTTTCTTCCTAACTTACAAATTAATCACCTATGTTTACTCTCTAAAGTAATTCGATTAGAAACAAAAAAAAATGAAAAAAAAAAAAAAACAAGCAAAAGAGGAAAGTTAGTTGTGGAAAAGATTGTGAAATTATGGTCTAAAAACATGAAAGAAACGGCAAAGGGGTCCATGGCTCCTTTGGACCACTGCTACTTTGGACTAGGTGTCTTCTCTCGTATATATGCATGCACACAAGCACATGGTAGCAGAAGAATATGCTATTTCTATGGACATTTTTACTTCCGTCCAAACTTACAAATTAAAAAAGTGAATGAAATAAATTTTGATCATTAATAAAGATATCTTACATCAAATCGTTTTAATTTAAATGGTCAATTCTTCGTTAAATACGTAATCTCTAACGGTCAATAACTCAAAGTACCGATAGTATACATATTTACAATATAGTATAATTTTTCCAAAAGAAAAACAAAAATAGAAAAGAATCTACACCACGGTCCCTTATCCAGTCTCGGATTCAAAGCCCAGCACACAAGTGGGACCCTGTTTTTGTAAATATCTGGTCCCACTGCCATCACCAGACGACAATCACTCCATAACTGACAAGTGTTGCAGCCAGTAAAGTAATAACTGCGACGATTCACTCACGACTGCGACCCGCGAGTATGAATCCATTAACCAAGTGGGGGCGACACATACCCACTCCCGCCAAAACCTATGGGACCCACACGGTCGGTGCACAGACAATTCCTGGACAGTCCCGTCGGGAATCAGACCTCTAACCGTCACATATTTATCCGAGCCTAACGTGGACACGTGGCGTAAAACAGTATAAAACACGACGTAATTTAATTTATTTATTTAAATTTTTAATTTGAATTTAAATGTGACTTTATATTATATGAAAATTTTTTATTATAATAAAAAAATTAAATATAATTATTTTTAAAATTTTTTTTTTATAATAAAATTTGAATTAATAAACTAAATGATATCTTAGATGACGTTTTATTTATGTATTCAGAATTATTCTTTTTTTATGTGTATTTTTTTAAAAAAAATATTGTAAAAAATTATAAATTATAATTTAAAATCAGAGACAAATATAAAAAATAAACGTCCTCTTAATTTTTTTTTTTATTTTTATTTTTATAATCACCGCTTAGATTAGATTTTTAACAGGTCATTTTTTATATTATTTGAATGGGTCACCCCGTCACCTCACCCCGTAGACTTAGTGAGAGAGAAGATATTTAGAAATCATCGCTTATTTAAAGTGGAAGAACCCCCCCACCTGGTTATGTCCACTTTCCCATCATTTTCTCTCTGAAACGGTTTCTTGCAAATTGCAGTACTTTTTTTAAAGAAAATTTTATTTGGTGTTTTATTCTTTCCAATCTTCGTTCTCGAGTTGAAAAATTTTCTAGTAAGTGAGAAATGGGAGCTCTAGATCATTTCTCGTATCTCTTTGATTGTTCTCACGGCCGTTCCAAGCTCAAGAGGCGCAAGCAATTGCAGGTTAGCACTTTATTGATAATCCTATTTTGATTTCTATATTTCGTATGCATTAGAATTGTTGGAGTGGAATTAGTCTTTAAGTTCTTCTACAAATTATCTTCTTTTGGTTAAAATGTTCTTTTGCTAGAAATTCTTTTGGTTAAAATATTTGAACAACGAAGAGATCTTCTAGTTATCTTAAGGTTCTGAAGGGCCAGATATTGTTATTGTTTTTCATAAGTTTTGGAATCTATATTATTTCATGAAGTTCAGAAGAAAAGAGCTTACTCTGTCAAATATGAAAATTGTTTGTTAATATTTTTAAGCTACTTTTTTTATAAAGATTTTGGCAAACTAATATAAGTTTAGATCTAATAACCGTGAAATCCATCAAATTAGGGAAAACGTGAAAAGTGAACTGATTATTGTATATTTTTTATTTCTGAAGTTCAGCAGTACATATATTGGCATTTGTATTTGAGTTTATAATTCGAGTTGAGATGTAATTTTATGTGAAAATTTTTTATTGTAAAAAAAATTAAATGTGACTATTTTTGATAATTTTTATTCTAATAAAATTTAAATTTTAAACTCAAATCGGTAAAGTGAACGGCCAAAAATTCTGAGTCCAAAATCTAGTACTGCCAACACTACCAAACATAAATTAAAAGTTCTTAATAGCAAAACAATGAAAAAAATTAGAAATAGAAAACTAAAGTTATATAGCGTACTTTGCTAAACAAACAAATCCAATTTATGAATTTAATCACTTGCTCTCTAAAAATAAAATAAAATAGAATGAGAAATAATTTAAGAGTAATTTATTTTATATATTTAAATTTAAATTATTATTTTTATTATAGTGTAAAATTTTTATATAAAATTTAAATTTTAAAGATAGAATTAAAAAATATAAGTTCGAGTATATCTAAAAAAAACCCTTTAACTACGGCTCCGCGTCATGATTTGGGGGAAAAAGGATAGAAAAAGTAAAACCAAAGAAGGAAAAAGGAAAAAAAACAAAATAGCAAGTGCCAAACAATAATGATCGTCTCCTAGTGAGTTGTTGCCACTGATTTTTGTACTGTCTTGTCCGTTAACGGTCAATGTCGTGTCTGACGTCATTCGCTCCTGACTAACGTACAAATCGAACGGCGTGATTGCTACCCACATCATTCATAATTTTAATATGGTAATGGTTTTCGATTTGATCAGACGGTGGAGGTCAAGGTCCGCCTCGATTGCGAAGGATGCGAGCGGAAGGTTAAGCGGGCGCTCGAGGGAATGAAGGGTGTGAAACAGGTAGATGTGGAGCGCAAGGCCAACAAGGTCACAGTCGTCGGATATGTGGACCCCGCAAAGGTGGTGGCACGTGTCGCGTATCGGACGGGCAAGAAGGCCGAGATCTGGCCCTACGTGCCATACGACGTCGTTGAGCACCCGTACGCGGCTGGGGTTTACGACAAGAAGGCCCCACCTGGGTACGTGCGAAATTCCCAGGACCCGCGGATCTCGCAGCTCGCACGTGCGAGCTCCACCGAGGTGCGGTACACCACCGCCTTCAGCGATGAAAACACAGCCGCTTGTTCTATCATGTGATCCTCCCAACACTATCTCCTGTATGCTCGATTGTTTAGAGCCAATAGATGTTAGTAGAAGAATCTTTGATCTTTGTGCGCTACTGTATTTTTTGGGTTACTTTTATTTGATTGAAGTTTTGTGATTAGGTCTGTTAAGAATCAAAGTGTTGTTGTTTTCATGTATATTTACCATGTTTGAATCTAGTGAGATATCTTGAGTCTCTGCATACTAATGTTTTTCTGTCTTTTAGAGAAAAAAAAAAAGAAAAGTAAAAACACGAGTCTTTCTTATTTAAATTTTTAATTCGAATGAAAAATTATATTAATAATATAAAAATATTATAATATAAAAAATTAAATTTAAATTTTTTTTAAAATAAAATATTACAATAAAAATTAAACAGTAATTCGAGCTAACACAACAAACAAACGGCATAAAAAGTTCTAGCACCAATATATAATTCTAGAGCCTCGTATTTTTTATTAAGTTGTATTAATTTACTTTAATTTTCAGTGCTGCTGCGATTTTTAATGTATTTTTGTTGTCCTTGACTGCAAGCGCCTTGCATAGTATTAAACGAGTATTGTAGGCATTACATGTCATCAACATATATCAGTAAAATTAATAAATGCGAAAGAGATTAATTTAAACAAAAGTTGAATACACAATCAACAAATAGGAAAATTTACAGAGCAGAGGAAAAATAGGACGTCTACCTATAGAAATCAGCCACGGCATAGACTGTTTTCTGGACAAATCAATGAGCTGGTAAAAGGAAGAAAATGCTCAAAGAAGATTAGAGAATCATCAGTAAGAGGTAAAAAAATTGAAAACAAAAAATAACAATAGATTTTAAGCAATTAAAAAACATTGATAGACCAACCATAACAAAAAAACAAATCATCAACAGCGGGAAAATGCCCACTCTCCATCTTTTCTGTGTTTTTTTTTAGACGGAAAAAAAATTGCAAGAAACCCAAAATATGTACTACTGTAACAACACCGGAAAAAACCGAGCAAAATCTTAAATCAAAACAACAAAAAAGCAACAAAAGTAGATCAACAAAAGAAGAAAAAGAAGAAGAAGAAGAAATAGATGAAGGAAAAGGGGGGGGGGGGAAAGCGATGGCAATTTAAAAAAAAAATACAGAGTATATACATTGACAAAATCACATAAAAATCCCAACCAAAATTCATAATAACAAACCTTCACCGGAAACATCTGAAAGAAGCTTAAAACTCTAAAGATCTGTAGAGAGAGATGATGAAGAAAACTTCACGGAAAGAATGAGAGAGAGAAGAAAAGAAACCCAAAAAATTATGCAGAATAAATGAAGCTGGAAGCTTCGAAGAATAGCAAAATACTATTCTGAAATCAAATTACGAAAATATCCAAACAAAAAACAAAACAAAAACAAATAATCAAAGATAAAACGATAAATACACAGTTTAAGGACACAGACAAAATTTTTTCAAATAAGAAAATTATGAAAATACTCAAACAAAAAACAAAACAGAAATAAGCAACTGAGGTTAAAACGGTAAAAACACAAAATTAGGACACATTTGTGATTTTTTTTAAAGAAAAGAGATAAAAAAAAAAACCCAATAATACTGTACTTAAAATAGAAACTCAAGTGTCTTCTTTAAAATAGATATAATAGGAGGTTGTTCTTTTATTTTTTCTCCAAAAACAAAAAACAAAATAATAATGATAACCGTCAAATTCTCATTCATTCATTTAAAGAAAAAAAAAATCTCATTGATTTTTTTTTTCTTCCTCTTAATTAGTTTTGCTTTTGATCAAGATAGAGACCTAGTGTCAGATAAGATGTGGTGGGATGTTGGAATTCCTCACGCCACAACTTTAGTGAGCAGCACGTTGAGGAAGATTCTACTGTCCATGTCGATATCATTCATGTGTTTTATTTTCCTTGGTTCTTATCGAACGCGGCTTAAGGTTGGATCCACTACATAATAAGACAGTAAAAATATCATGCTAAACAGTAGGGCGTAGAGGTTCAGGTCTCTAAGATCCTTCCACTTAACAGCTGTCTTAAAAGATAGGTTTAAAGTTAAGGATGGAATTCAAATAATAAGATCCGTTTAATTTATTGATTCGAATTTTTAATTTGAGTTGAGATGTAATTTTATGTGAGAATTTTTTACTGTAGTAAAAAAATTAGATGTGATTATTTGTGAGTTTTTTTACTGTAGTAAAACTCGAATTCTAAACTCAAATTAGCGAAGTGAACGGGGCCTAAAAAACTTGTAATGTTCGTAATTACAAAAAATAAAAATAAAAATAAAATAAGAATATCCGTTATTGCTAAAGATAAATATATTTCCCACGTCGAAATCTCTATCTCTCACTGGTGTCGGTGTTGACCTAATGCCGGCAACTCACCACATCAAACATATCTAGCGTCAAGCGGTGTTGATAACCATGACAGATCATAGATTTACATGTTTAGTTTATAAATTCATAATTATAATTTAAAATTATTTTTATTTTATGTGTATTTTTTTATAAAAAAAATATTATAAGAAGTTACGAATTATGATTCGAATTCTGACACGAATCCCTTTTCTCAATGTTCCATGGTGTCGACAAGTCTCGTGTTGCATATCTAATCGTGAGCTAGCTGAATTTTTCTCTTTGACTTCTCCTGAGTTGAGTAGGTGATTATAGCAACCAAAACTTGTAAATCGACAATAATCTAATATTAATTTAAACGCTCTTCTAATAGTGTGCTTCTATTAGGCTGTCACCTAGCAGCTTCTCTTTCTTTCTCTTTTTTATTTTTTATTTTTTCCCCTCCTTTACCTTTATATTTTTATTAGTTTTTATCTTTTAATGTACTTTGCTTTTTGTTTTTTTTTATTTTGTTAATTTTTTACATTAAGTTTTTCAAAATAATTTCGGCTCAGTTTACTACTATGAAAATAATTTTTTATGCATGTGTTTCTATTTAAATTTTTTTGCCAACAGTTAAAGTAATTTTTTTTTTCAAATGTGTCCCTACTTAATTTATTTTCCTCTATGTAATTTATTTTCTATGTAATTTGTGTCATATCGAAAGTTATCTTTATGCACATGTTTTTATACAGTGCTCCCACAAATCACTTTCTAAACTGTCATGTAGTAGCTCCTCAATCTAACATCTGATGTATTAAAAAACAACCAAGTCGACTTAGCTCCTAAAAAAACATGTTGACCTCCTTCTTATTTTTTTTCTCTCTCTTTTTAAACTTTTCTTCTTTATCTCTTCTCTTTTTCTTTTTAAATCTTTTTATTTTTTCTTATTTTCTTTGGCCAAATTTCTTTTTTTATTTTTTCCTATTATTCTTTGACAATTCTTCTCTCTCTTTTTTTTCTCTTTTTAAACTTTTCTTCTTTTTCTCTTTTTATTTTTAAATCTTTTTATTTTTTCTTATTTTCTTTGGCCAAATTTCTTTTTTATTTTTTTTCCTATTATTCTTTGACAATTCTTCTCTCTCTCTCTCTCTCTCTCTCTCTCTCTCTCTCTCTCTCTCTCTCTCTCGTTTTTTTACAACATCTTTTTTAAAATGCTTTCTTTCTTCTTACTTTCTTTTAATTAAAATAGTTCCTTTCAAATATGTCCATACTTTTTTTTTGTCAAAAACTATGGCTTTGTTCATTTCACTGATTCGAGTTTTCAGTTTTAGGTTTCTACAGTAAAAAGCTGTCAGAAAATGGCACATCTAACTTTTTCTGCTACAGTGAAAAGCTCTTAAAAAATGTAACATCTCAACTCGAATTGAAAACTCAAATCCGCGAAGTGAACGAGGCCAACTTCAATTTTTTTATTTGATTTTTTAAAATATATTTTTCTTTTGGTCCAATTAATGGACTTAACTTCGAAAGAAGTTTTATGCCTTAACACGGAATCAAACTTATAAAGTTATTTACAACGTGCGTAGCACATGGCTCAACTAGTACATGATAAAGAATCACATATTGATAAAACTCGATTGGACATCAGCAGATGACTAATGGTCATCTAGTAAAATTTCTGTGTTCTCATACATTTATTAGCACTTTCTTGAACGCAAGTTTGGATAAAAGCCCATCAATTCAAGCCCAATTGTTTGGACTCCATAATATAAGATGTTGTAGCCTGTAGCCACTTCACAATTCACTCTTTCGGACTTTTGGCGGTTCCATTTTGGCGGGAAAAGCTCGAAAGAAAGAAGAGGCGCATCCATGGCGGACGAGCAAGACGCCGGTCTGGGTCAGGTGGTGGAGGAGTACACCGTGTGGAAGAAGAACTCGCCGTTCTTGTACGACCTCATCATCTCTCACCCTCTCGAATGGCCTTCTCTCACCGTCCATTGGTCCCCTTTGGCCCCAATTACCCACCCAAACCCTAATCTTTCCGTCCACAAGCTCGTCCTCGGGACCCACACCTCCGATGGCTTCTCCAATTTTCTCATGGTCGCCGACGCTTTCCTTCCCGCCACCGCATCGGAAACCGCCTTCGACACCAGTGACCCAAACACTATTATGCCCAAGGTACGACATTTCTTAGGCGCTTCTTCTTTTGTTCGCTTAATTGTTTGTCAAGAATAATCTCGTGGGTTTTGTGGAGAGATTGTTAAATTTGTTGTTGGTAGAGCGAATTCTTGGAGTTGTATCTTTGCCCATTATCTGTTTGTTGAAATGTAGCTGTGAAAATAAATATCTGATTGTTAATTTGTTGGTTTGACTTGTGTCTATAGCTGGAGATTACTCAAAAGATACGCGTTGATGGGGAGGTGAACAAGGCACGTTACATGCCGCAGAACGGGTCTGTTGTCGGTGCGAAGACGAGTGGCTGTGAGGTGTACGTGTTTGATTGTGCCAAACAGGAGTCTAAGCCGCAAAGTGGTTGTGATCCGGATTTGAGGTTGAGGGGCCACGACAAGGAAGGGTACGGATTGTCTTGGAACCCCGGAAAGGCTGGCTACATCTTGAGCGGTTCACATGATAGTAAAATATGTTTGTGGGATGTGTCTGCGTTGGCTGAAGAGAAAGTGCTTGATCCAATGCATGTTTATGAGGTAATTTTTGGACTTGAACATTATTTGTCCAAGGAATGATGTATTATTTTAAGTACTTTGTTAATCGTTGCTTGTTGATTTTGCTTTCAGGGTCACGAAAGCGTGGTGGGAGACGTGTCGTGGCATTGGAAGAATGAGAATTTATTTGGGTCTGTTGGAGATGATTGTAGATTGATCATATGGGACTTGCGCACAAACCAGAGCCAAGACTCTGTCAAAGCTCACGAGAAAGAGGTTATGCAGTGTGAAAAAGTTTTAAAACCCTATATGATAGGCGTAATGGTCGCTATTTGGTATTACTCATAGGAGGCCGATTAACTGAACAGAATGTTGAATGTGTTTGTTTTTGATGCTATGAACAGAAACTCACTGTATAAACTTATTAAAATACTTCTTGGTATAAGAGGATTCAGTTCTATTAACCTAAAGAGTATTAGGAGCTGGAAGAATAAAGTGAAGTTATTTTCATTTGGTAAGCGAGGATTTGTTACCTATGGACTTCTCATTAGCTCTTATAATGGATTTCTGGCTCATGGTAACATGAGGGGATTCATTGAAGACGCTAGTGAGTCGTAATAAGATATTTGTTTGCTTCTTCTTGTTGTGTTCTCGTTCCCAGAATAATGATAGAGATGTTTTCGACTGAGTATTTGCATTAGCATTCTCCTCATCTTACTCACGCTTTTCTTATACTTATTGGTTAATGTCAGGTGAATTATCTTTCTTTCAATCCATACAATGAATGGACTTTGGCTACGGCATCTTCAGACACGACTATTGGTTTGTTTGATATGCGGAAGTTGACAGAGCCGTTGCATGTTTTAAGCAGTCACGAGTACGATTTTTTTTTCTTTTCCCATTTGCTTATCTTTAGAATTCTGTTGCAATTATGTCATATGCCAATGTAGTTGTTGCTTGAATCATGCAACTATTCTCTCTACCAAATTGTTGCTTCGTTTACATAGACTTGCTAGGCTTTACATTACAAAATTCTCTTCTCTACATTACAAACTTTTGACAAACATATTGAACAAATGAAATTCCCTTATCCTCAATTTTGTTTCTTTGCAGAGAGGAGGTATTTCAGGTTGAATGGGATCCTAATCACCAAACGGTGTTGGCATCATCTGCTGATGACAGAAGGCTCATGATTTGGGACCTTAACAGGTATTTGATGTTAGAATCTGCTTTTAGTGCCTTCATTCTTTTGGTAATGTGGTGAAGAGAAAGGCCAAACGCAATACAATGCTTGTAGTTTTTAGGTTCCAATCTTTCTATTTCTTCCTACTATAGTCATTAGAGAAAAGTAATAACAATAGAATTCTTGCAATGATGCCTTCAGGATTGGGGATGAGCAGTTGGAGGGAGACAGCGATGATGGCCCTCCGGAACTTCTCTTTTCTCATGGGGGTCACAAAGCTAAAATATCAGATTTCTCTTGGAACAAACATGAGCCGTGGGTGATTACAAGTGTAGCTGAAGACAACACTCTTCAAGTCTGGCAACTTTCTGACAGTATATACGGCGATGAGTACGGTGGCTGCGCACTTGATGACTGATCTGAATACTCGCCTGGGTAATCTTCCTTTGAGCAGTGAACTCTCAGACAGCCTTTTGTTTTCTTCGTTCACCTGGATAATGAACTGTGGGATTTTGGTGGGGTTACACGAATCCCTTAGCTGTGAATGATTTACAGGACTTAGAGAGATTAGTTAGCACCTTAGGTCTTCTTTATGCATTATTTTGTTTCGGAAAACTGGTTTTTGCTGATGCCTGGTACTTTGTTAATCATGTAGTCACTATGAAAATAGTTATAATCTTCTATGTTCAGTATGAAAGTTGGAAGAGCTTGGCCATCCGAGGTTTCACATTTAAACTTGAAATATCAAGTCATATGGTCGTGTGATCAGATCTTTGAAAGTCAAGAGTGTTGCAACGTTGTTGCTTCGGTTGGGTCTAAGATGGAGAGTTTCACTGAGATCTCCTGCAATATGACATGACCAAGGAATGTACTGAACTATCACAAATAAATGCGCCCCTTGTCTCTTTCATCCCCCGTTATGATAAATAGAATATGAAAAGTACTCTGTGGTGGCCTCATGTGCTTGTGCGTGAAATGGATGTGGTGGCATGATTTGTAAGATTCAAAAAAAAAAAAAAAATTTGAAGAAAAAAGCGGTAGAATAATCTTTCTTATTTACTTGTGCGTTTTTGGGAAAAAAAAAAAAAAAAAAAGGGAGAATCTTTCAATACACAACTAACCAAAAAACTGGCCAAATCATAACCAAAGATTTAATTTATTATTATTATTTTCAGTCAAGTGCTGTTCGGAGTGAAATCCAGATCAGCTAAATAAGTTATCCACCACAATCGAAAGCCAACGAGCCTAGAAAGATTCTTCTTTATTTAAATACCTAACAGTGGCAAGAGATTCCAATGGCCAGACGCACCAGTGAAAAACAAACACGTGCAATTCACCCATGCGTCAGTCTTAAATTTGATGATGACAAGAATTGTTGGGCACATTCTTCAATAAGAGAATGCTCTACCTTCACAAAGAAATCTGGCATTCTTACTTGCACAAAACGGTAAAAGAAGAAGAAGCAAACTCTCTTAGACTATAGTGATCCTTTCACAAAATCAGAAATTTGGATCTCATGAAGTGAGAATGTGACTCACCTTGTTTCACAGCTCATAGAATTGAAACATGAGAGACATCCCATCTTCCTATGTTCTGTGATTCAGCAATCAAAGAGTATAAATGCTGAGGAAGTGGAAATTATAGCTAAAGAAAAGCAAAACTAAAAACAGAAAAGTAGAATATGGCAACAAATTGCAAACTACACTGGTCAAATTGAAACGAAAATCAACAAAGTATATAAAATTCATAAGGATGAAAATAATAGGTTTTAAACTCAAAATGATTTGAGCTTTATATAAAACCATAAAGTTGGTCCCATCACAAGTTCCACTGACAACACATGTACTAATTAAGGTTTTGAGCTCTACAAAACATACAGAGTTGAGATCATAAGCTGACCGAACCACCAGGGCTCATTGGGCTGGTATCAGAAATCATACCAGTTCAAAGTACCCTATATCTTGGTTAAAAACTTGAATTCGAAGGGAAAAAAAAAGAGTAGTAAACAAAAAAACTCAAAAGACCTGAGGGAAAGCTGATGCTGCAGTTTGACAACTATTTATTATAGATATCTATCTTGATGCTTAATCCAGTGCCAACTTCTCAGGCTTTCAATTTGCTGTCGCTGGGCGAGTCCCCCCTAATCAAATAAATCACAAAATGGTCAGAATCACAACAAGAGACATCAAAAAGAGAGAGAAAGAGAGAGAGAGAGAGAGAGAGAGAGAGAGAGAGAGAGAGAGAGAATTGAAAGCTACAAACAATGAACCCAGGTAAAGTTCATCATCAAGAGAAAAAGATGATTAGCAAGAAACAGAAAAGAAACAAAAAACAGAACACGCAATACATAGCAAGCTTATGCAGCGGGACAATTCTTTCGCCAAATAAAACCAAATGCTACGGATCTCCCTCTTCCTCCCCCTCCTCTCTCTATAGTGGAAATTAATTACAAGAGACAGAATAATATTTTGAACAGGTTGGCTCAGCCTCTCGCACTTCTTACTAGCCAAATAAGTTGAGCTAGAATCCTTGGATTGAACGAAAGACACTAAGGGAATATATATATATATATATATGTGTGTGTGTGTGTGTGTGTGTGTGTGTTAAGAGTCTTTTCCATGAGCTGATCTCTTGTCTATAGATGGTCCCGCACCATGGCATGATTGTAATGATCATCATTCATCAAAAGTAACCATAGGTCTATAGCTGCATATAAACTAGCCGTACCCAAAGACAAATACAAATCATGAAACAATAATCCAAGAACCAACAACACAACTCAGCAACTCCTATTGCAAACCAGCATATACCTGGTCGGGAAGAGATATAACAAGTGAACAACGGTATACGAGTAGTGCCACTTAAGTCTCAAGCCTTTGAAAAAATTGACACTTACAATCAAAGATAAATATCATATACCGTGGCCTCAACAACCACCTATGCATTGCTAGATCGACTAGCTTCTAAAATTAAAGTCTCGTTCACTTTGTGGATTCGAGTTTTTAATTCGAGCTGAGATGTGACATTTTCTGAGAGCTTTTCACTGTAGCAGAAAAAGTTAGATGTGATATTTTCTGAGAGCTTTTTACTGTAGAAACCTAAAACTGAAAACTCGAATCGGTGAATAAGTGATTTTAAGTTGAGATTTTTTCTCTCAAAATTTGGTTTTTTTTTTTTTTTTTTTGCTACTGCTAAAAACTCACGAAACTAAGAGGATCACCTATAAACACCAGAAAAAAAATAATGTGAATAACATCCCGGCAAAGTGAATTAACTAATCATACAAAATTTCAAAGTCAGCAACAAAGTAATAGAAAGAATATAATACAGAAAGTGTCATTCTAGGGTTCACCTTTCCTCTTATTTGAGCCAGAAGAATTGACATGAGACGCATTTCCAAGTTCACAACCAGGAAGCTCCTTGGATCCTGAGTTCTGATTTGCTAAACATTGAAGACTCTCAAACTCACAACCACTGAAACTTTGTCCATTCAACACAGCACCATCACATTTTCCATCCATCCCTGGATGCAGGCAATATACCTGATCATCACATTGCATGTTACACGGATTCATCACGTAGGCGCCAGGCATGGTTGTGTTCGTAAGGTTCTGATTAACAGGTTTCTGATACGGAAAAGACCCAATTTCCCCTTCAATCCTTCCACGGATGTCCACAAGCAAACACTTGAGCCTTGCAACCTCAGACTCCAGAGCAGCCTGACCCTGCAACCTTTTCAGCAACTGCTGATTAATAGCCCTCAATCTCACAACTTCATCCTCCAACGACGCCGCTCGCGCCTTCTTCTTCTCGCGATACTTGCGCACTGCTTCGCGGTTGCCCAGTGGGCGTTTCTTCGATTTCTTTTCTGTAGACTCCGCGGTGTCATCCGACGCAGCCTTGTCTTCGCCGGAGGCAGGCACAATTTTGGTATGGACATGAAAGCAAGTGTGGGTGTGGGAGAAGTCAGGGCCAGGTGGGTTACAAGTGTGGGTGTGAGTGCAAGCGTGAGTGTCCTTAAGAAGCTCATCAAAGAAGCTATCCATTGAACAACTGCTTGGAAGCTCACCGCCAATGTTTGGACTCGAAAACACCTCTTGGTTCGAGAAATCAACCTCACCGTCGTCCATTGTGATAACGAAATCACAGAGAAAATATATATAAAGACACGAATTTCAGCCAGAAAAAGCACTAAAAAGCTTTAAACTTTCAATCTTTCCCAAAGTTCTGAGCCCTAGACAGAAATTAACAATACCCAGATGGATAATTGAAGTACCCAACAAACTCGAAGTCACACAACGACAATACCAACGACGGAACGAAATGAATTCCACAGAAATTAAACCTAGGAAGCCAACCAAAACCCTAAAAAACCGAAATAAGAAAAACAGAGATTATTCACTCACAGAGGCAAAATCTACTAGATAACTAATGCAAATAAATAGAATCAAAGATTTCAAGCAGAGAAGAAACGTGAAAAGGACTTACCATGAAGAAATCAATAACGAAAAAAAAAAATGCACGGAAGATCCAAATCCTTGGGAAAGAGAAATGATTATAAGAATCCTAAATTAAAAGGACGAAGAAGAAAATCGGAGAAGAAACGAGGATATGTTGTTCGAACCAGAGAGAAAGGAAGTGTGGTTCGAGTAGTGAGGAAACCCTAGTTGTTGGTGGGCGAACATGGCGATGGTAAATAATGGACGTACCAGGTTTTGCTGTGGCTGGAGACGACTGGCTCAGAGATTCCACGAGGCCTTTTCTTCTCTCTCTCTCTAGAAAAATCAGAAATCAAATAAGAGTTTTGTTTGCCGCTTTCAACTTCTACCTTTTTTTGGCTAATCAATTTATACCTTTTTGGGGGACTTTGCTGCAAAATACGATTAATGTTGAACGAGAAAAATGTTGAACCCCGCCTCTCACGCAGCTTTGGGCCCACCATGAGTGAGAGGTGGGGTTGAGTTTTCATTTTGGGAAAAAAAAAACAAAAAATATTACTCTAAGATGGTAAAAAAACTTATGTCACTCCATTTAAAATAAATAATTATAATTTAATTAATAATAAAAAATAAAAAGTCACAGTAATATTTAATTATTTAGAATGATATAAATAATAGGTTTAAATAAATTTTTTTTTTAATTTTTTGTTATAATACACACTGTTGACGGTGGAATTTCGTCAACATAAATATATCTAGTTACCGTCTAGTAGTCAGTTAGATTACCGGCTAAATCGCATCCAAATTGATGCTCTATATCTGATTAAATTCGGTTAATAAAGTGTAATTATTTGTGCATAGGTTTTACGGGTTTTTCAGAATGTGCAAGAAACTCAAAGAAAAGATAAGAACACTAAAAATTATAGTGGTTCACTCTCATGCAAGAGCTACGTCCACTTTGAGAAATTTCTCTTTTTTTTTTTTTTTTTTTTTTTGTCTTTTTTTTTTTATTACAAGAGGTTCAGTTCTCTCATATGCTCGCACCAGGTTTTTTTTTTTTTTTTTTTTTTTTGTCTTTTTTTTTTTATTACAAGAGGTTCAGTTCTCTCATATGCTCGCACCAGGTTTTTTTTTTTTTTTTTTTTTTTTGTCTTTTTTTTTTTATTACAAGAGGTTCAGTTCTCTCATATGCTCGCACCAGGTTTTTTTTTTTTTTTTTTTTTTTTTGTCTATTGGGCCATGCCCCTTTTATATCGCATAGATTACATATTGGAGAAAACTGAGGCGAAAGGTTACCATGCGGTTACTCTCGAGTAGCCTCTTATCCTACTCATCTAGATTGCAGCTATACAATGTTTTTCTGACCGTTCATCTACCTACTCTGCCCAAAATTGTGGCTTTGTGACTTCTCGTGATTTCCTATTGGTCTATTTTGGGTGGCTAATAGGCCGGTAATCATTTCTTTGGCCACTGGCTTTGTTTATACACGCAAGTAACCTTGGGATTTCTCTTTTGTCGCTTCACAGGGTCTTCTTGGGATCTAAGTTAGATACCTGATTATGTTGCCCTCTCCGCTTCCACTTTGCTTGGACAGCAAATCCATACAGAGCCTTCGTCTTTGTTGATCCTCACATAAGCTCGACGACTTGCGGGGCTTTTAGGAGCCGTCTCGGTCGATGGCTTGTATAGGCGAGGCTATAATCTCTTCGTCCCTCCTCAAGACCACTGATCATGCAGCCGGTCCCTTCAGGGTAGGGTCCGCCGTCTTTGCCATTTGAACATTACAAGCTTGTTGTTCCTAAGTGCTTCTTTAAGGATTATCTTGGAATGCAGAGCAGTCAGAGTCTTTCTCATTACAAGAAGCACTCGTCTTTGAAACAACTGAACCTCAATCAACTGAAAAGCTGATGCTTCGACTGTCAGCGCCTACTTGTTGTCTGTCGTGGTAGGTAGTGGCCACGTGGAGCCTATTTGTCGTCCAACGTGACAATGTAGATTTTTTTCTATAACACACCACATGCAATATTATTTCCTACGCAATATTATTTTAATATTTGGGTAGGAAAATCACTCTTTAATGTAATATTAGTATTTATGCCAAATTTATGAGAGCATGCAGTAAATTTGGCATTTGATTGTTATCAATTAGTATGTTTACTTTCATTTAATCGTTACAACATTTGTACTTTCAACTTATTTTAAAATTCAAAATTTATTTTTTCAACTTTGAAAACTTAATGATTATGGTAAAAAATATTTTAAGTATTTAAAATAACACTTTGCACTAAAATACAAATGAAAATAATATATCAAATATGTAATTTTTACTCTTTCATTGCATTAGTATTTGTATTGTACAACAGTATTTAATTTTTATACAATAATATTAGAGTTGAAAGTTTAGACCGGCCAAATGAGTCGACTCGAAGGTCTTTTTTTGGTCAACCCATATTGATTATTCTCTCCTTAAAAGAAAAAAAAAAATCCTTATAAAGTTTCAGGTCGCCAGGCTTTAAGATTGGGTCCGGCTAATCTTTTCTGACCGTTTACCCATGCTCGTGACGTAAAGTGCCCATTCGAGTCACCAGACGTAGCATGCGACCCAAACTTGCAATTGTAATTTTTGTTTTTTGTTTTTTGATAATTTGCAACTGTAATGTTATTTATTATGTTACGTTTAGTTTGTGTCATAATTTTAAACTTATTAGTAACATTTTATAAATGTTTTCTCATGTTACTCGAGATGTCTCAGTTTAAAATTCATCTTCAAGGTGTCTCGAGATAAATATATATATATATATATATATATATTATATTTAAAAGCAAATTATTAGGTAGATTGGTCTACAAGCTAAGAGAATTCTCGAGCAATAAGAAAAACCCACTTTGTCACCTTAAAGACATTCATGTTTAAGTTGAAAAACGAAATATTGGCAATTTTTGTAAATTTCACATAAAAAAATATTAGAAATGACTGCAAATTATATTAATATTCTAAATTACTTTCCCTTATAATTTAGTATTTGCCCCTAAACTAGCTTTAATGTGATCAAAATTTATCTAAAATTTAGTCAGAGATGGATTTTCTTTTTCCTATAAATTAAAGTTCATATATTACAGGTGATATAGAAAAGTTCAAAGATCAAATTGATACTCCTAAGAAAATTTTAAACAGTACAAATCTCCTACAAAAATATCATTAATGGATCGATGCAATGGTGAAAATGCCTTCTTCTTCCTTTTTTAGAATGCGTCTATAGTTTGATACTTCACAACTCCATTTTAAGATTCTGTTCATCTAATGTGTTATGCGGTATTAAGTGTGTAATGACATGCGTAAAAATTAAGTCTCTTTTAAATATGATTGGGTCTATATTTTCCTTTAAGAAAAGGAGGTATATACTCTCTTAAAATACATGAATTTAGACTTTTATCATTTACAATTAAATAATGTCTTTTTAGTCAACTAATTATACTAGTCAATAAAAATAAGAAAAGGAAAAGTGGTAGAGATGAGGATGATAAAAATTAATCTTGTAGAATAAGTGATTCGTTTATTTCACCCATTTAAGTTTAGAATTTGAGTTTTTTTTACAGTAAAAAGTTATTAGAAACAATCATATCTAACTTTTTTGTTACAGTAAAAAATTTTCACATAAAATCACATATTAATTCAAATTAAAAACTCAAATCAGTGAATTAAATAGACATAAAAATTAACACTTTTAGTGGTTCTCTCTTTTTCCATTCCATTTATGGGCCCAGGATTTCGAAAGTGGTGAAGAGATGAGGATGATACGGCACTGATGATTATTTTTCAGTGAAAAATGAATAAATAAATACGGGTGCATTTCACATATAATTGAACAAGGATTTCGGACATTTAGTTCACTGATTTAAATTTTAAATTTTAATTAAAATGTGATTTTATATGAGAATTTTTTATTATAATAAAAAATTAAATATGATTATTTTAAAATTTTTTTATTATAATAAAACTTAAATTTTAAATTTAAATCGATAAAATGAATTAAACATAAAAAAGATAAATAGAGGTGGAAGAAAGGACAAGTAATTTTGAACCACACACGTAAGAAAAGGAAAAGTGGTAGAGGAACGTGGGACATGCACACTAATGTACTATCAATGAATAGTAGACAAGGATTTATTTTGGTTATAAATAATGTTAATTTTTTCACATCTATGAAATTATGTATCTTGTTTTAAAATGTTTCTTAATATTGCAAAATAATTTAAAACACCTTTTGATTTATAAAAAATTGTTCAAAATTCTCATTATGTCAACTTCCGTCTATAACTAATTTACTTACGTGGCACTTATTTTTAGATATTTAAAGTTACTTAAATTGAAAAAATAAATTAATTATTATAAATTAAACTTAACCATTATTAGATTATTTTTTACTGAATAAATATTTAAGACAATTATTTTTTCAAGAAAAAAACTTCTCCTTCGAGGGATCTCTTCCCTAATACTTTTTCTTTGTGATTTGAGAAATCAAGATTTCTTCTTGTTCATGTCCGGTGACGGTGAGAGGCGGAGGAGTGCTTACGGTGGAGAGCTCGATATATCTGGGTTCGCGACGAGGGCGATGATGAGGTTGGGCTATGCTCACGATGATAATGATGAGTCTGGGATGCCATTTTGGTTTGCATTTTGAGAGTGAAAAGGATACAAAATTTCAACGAGAGTGAGTGAATGTCTAATTTTTTTTTTATTTGGTTGGTTTTGGGTATTGTGAAATGCGAAAGAGATCTGATATTTTTATTTATTTATTATTATTATTTTTTTTTAGGATCGAAAGAGAAGAGATGAGAAAAGGAGAAGATCAAGAGAGAGATACATGCTTAGTTTGGTATTGCTTTTTCCTTTCAAAATCAGCTTCTGCTTGTAGCAGAAGTTAATTTTAGTGTTTGGTAAATCTCTTCAAAAATGCTTTTTGAAGAATTTTTTAAGAATCTATAGCCAAAATCAGAGACAGCTTAAAGACAACTTTAGCTTTTAGATTATGCGGGAATCATCATAGTACAATTAATGAAACTTTTATAATACCAATAATACCCCTAATGAAATTTAAAATTTATAATCTTCCTAAACTAAAATTCAAACTCGTAATATAATATAATATAATATAATATAATATAATAGTTATATTATAACAAATAATATCATAATTATATTAATAACTCTAATATTATTATTTTATCATATAATATGATATTATAATAATATTATAATTATTTTAATAATATGATATTATAATTATAATTTTATAATATATTATATATTATATAATAATTAATATAATTAAATATTAATGTAATTTTATAATTCTAACGTTATTATATATTATAGTGTATTACACTTATATAATATATTAATTATAATATATTTGTTTAATATAATATAATAATGAT